CCACCTTTTCCCCCACGGGAAAAAAAAATATTGCTGCGTTAGTTATCTTTGCAGACCTATTCTTCCCTGCTAACCATTTTATTCTCATGGGTTACGTTTTCTTTGTTTTGTGGGTGGGGGAGGTTGGCTGAGGCCACACTTGGTGGTGCTCAGAAGTGGTACTCCTGGCCGTGCCCGGATCAAGCTTAGTTTCACCACCCGCAGGACAACAAGCATCTTAACCCCCGTACAACCTCTCTGGCTTCTGGAGGTGACATTTTTTTCACATTGTCATGCTGGGGTAAAGAGCCTGTTTTACACTCAATTGCTAACCCCGTCCAACTTTACAGTGAGTTCTTGTCATCGACATTCTCTCCGTGTCCCTACATTGTGACCGGTGTTAGATATTCTCTCATTTTGTGCCGCCTTCCTGCACTGTCTTAATTTGTAACCCAGTTGACGGGGAAGATGGTGTCTCGTCGCTTATTTTGTACATTCTTGACTGGCCCTGAGAGTGCACATTGTTTCTTGGTAATGGGCCGTTTCTTGTTCCTCTTCTGCATATTGTCCTCATCACCTTTCATATGCGTTGTTTGTCCGTTTTTTTTTCTCAGCAAGTTGCAGGTGTTCTTCGTATTCTTATATTTAAGGATTCCATATGTGTTGCAGATGCTTTTCCTAATCTGTTTATTAACATCTGTTTTATAAGGTAGAAAAACAATTTTACAAAGTGTGTTTTTTGTTTTTCTCTTCAGACTGTCTGGATTTCTTGCCCTGTGTAGGAATGATTTCCTGACCTCAATATTATACCTAAATATTCTTCCTATACTTTTTGCATTTCAATCAAATCCTGACTGTTCAATCCCTTTAGAATGTGTTCATACTTAGTAAGAGTCGTGATCAAATTTTCTCTGGCTAAGCCATGGCCATTGGTTAAATAAACCATCTTTTCCTTTGAAAGGCATTTCTTTGTCATAACGAAGTTCCTGTGTTTACTTTTGTCTATTTCTGGATTTGCCATTCAAGTCCACAGACTTATTTCTACCCTTGGGTTAATACTGTTTGTTACACAAACAACATCCCTGTCACTGTCACTGTCCTCCCGTTGTTCATCGATTTGCTCGAGCGGGCCCGGTAACATCTCCATTGTGACAATTGTTACTGTGTTTGGCATATCGAATACGTCACGGGGAGCTTGCCAGGCTTTGCGGTGTGGGCGAGATACTCTCGGTAGCTTGCCGGGCTCTCTGAGAGGGGCAGAGGAATCGAACTCGGGTCGGCAGGGTCAGCTGCATGCAAGGCAAATGCCTACCCGCTGTGCTAGTGCTCCCACCCATACAAACAACATGTAATTTATAATATAAATTTATTGTAATGTCCCTATGTAATAAAATTTTGCCTTATAAGATATGTCTCCCCTCTTTTGAGGAAAGTGTGGTTTTTGGGTTACACCTCCTGGTTCCTGGGCGTCAGTCCTGACTCCGTGCCCCGGGGTTACTCCCAGGGTGCTGGGGACCAGGTGATGGCTGGGATCAAACTCGGGCTTCTGCGTGCCACATATGTACTCCAGCCCATGACACTCTCTGGCTCCCAAGTTAGCTTTTAACAATTTTTCTTACAATTTCTTGGCCAGTTTCCTTGGATATTAAGTACTTCAAATTGAAATGAAACATGATTTTATCCATTTCCCCTTCAAAAATTGTTTTTAAATAAAATTTAATTTGAATTAGGTAATAATCTTAGAAGGATCGGTTTGAATAAGGAATGATGCTTTATACCTACGAGCATGCTGCTTGGTTTGAAACTTATACATTCATTCTATTTTTTTTTCACCACTAAAGTTTTAATATGCCCCTTAGATGTATTATCAAAAATAAAACAGTATTTGTGGGACCAGAGCGATAGCACAGCGGGGAGGGCGTTTGCCTTGCACGCGGCCGACCCGGGTTCAATTCCCAGCATCCCATATGGTCCCCTGAGCACCGCCAGAAGTAACTCCTGAGTGCAGGGCCAGGAGTAACCTCTATGCATTGCTGGGTATGACCCAAAAAGCACAAAAAATAAAAATAAAAAAAATAAACATTATTTGTGGGGCTGGAGCGATAGCACAGCGGGTAGGGCGTTTGCCTTGCATGTGGCTGAGCTGGGTTCGAGTCCCAGCATCCCATATGGTTCCTCGAGCACCGTCAGGAGTAATTCCTGAGTGCAGAGCCAGGAGTGACCCCTGTGCGTTGCTGGGTGTGACCCAAAAAGAAAAAAAAAAGTATTTATTTGTCCCAAGGACCTGAGAATAGCAGTATTTTTATGTCAAATGTAACATCGTTGAATTTGTTTTGCTCTCCCCAATAGCTTCATTTTGAACTATTAGTAGTGTTTATATTCACCAACCTACTATGCTCACTGTCAATTCTAAAATTCTGCAGAATATCTCTGCTCCTTTTCCTTTGTGTTGAAGAATGTTTTGGGGGCCTGTGAATAGTAAAGTCCAAAGTAGGCCGCGAATGTGGCCGCGCACTTCCCAGAGCTGGGTTTTATAATCTCTGAGTCTTGGCCGTTGATGGGATTACACGGCGCCAGGGGGCCAGTTGGTGGGTGTGACCCCCGCCTACTGGAATTTGGAGGATCTGGGTGGAGGATGCTCAGCCCCGATCCGAGTAGGCTTGGAGATCTCAGCCCCGGGACCCGCGTGCCTTTGTTCCTCTACCGGTACCTTCATGTGTGCGGAGAGTGGTCTCAGCATGGTGGTGGCTGGTTCTGGAGGTCTTCGGCTACCGGAGCCCTGGTCGGGGTGGGGAGGAAAGCTCAACCCGCTCCTCTCCAAGGGGCCCGGGTGAGGACAGCCAGGCTCGGGGGCAGGAGACTCTGCCAGGCTACCGAATGTAACCTGCCCACACGGCAGAGTCTGGCAAACTCCCCGTGGTGTACCCAATATGCCAAATACCAGTAACAATGAAGGGTCTCATTCTCCTAACTCTGAAAGAGCCTTGAATATGGCACTTTTAAAAAAAATCTCAAGACTAGGACGAAGGAGACGTTACTGGGGCCTGCTCGAAGTAATCGACGAATAACAGGATGGTTGTGATTGTGATTGATTGATTGTGAATAGTAAACTTGCTCAGTATTTGTCTAAAAATTCTTTTTTCCCACAAAAGTAAAATTTCAGCTGAATACAGAATTTTATTTAATACTGTGGTGTGTGCGTTAGGTCAAGCATTTCCCCCCCCCCCCTCATTCTCAACTGGATTTTTAGATAGTGTGTATAATTATTAAGAAAGTAGGTCTGCCTCTTTAAAAATTTTCAACCCAAACAGAAATCGTTTGTGTGAAAAGTGGAAGTCTTGGGCTTGGAGCGATAGCACAGTGGGTAGGGTGTTTGCCTTGCACGTGGCCAACCTGGGTTCGATTCCCAGCATCCCATAGGGTCCCCTGAGCACCTCCAGGAGTTATTCCTGAGTGCAGAGCCAGGAGGAACCCCTGAGCATCGCCAAATGTGACCCAAAAAGAAAAAAAAATGGAAGTCGTGCTCCCCCTTGAGACTTAGCTCAAAGGGCTGAGCAATGGCTTTGTGCGAGCGAGTCCTTGGTCAGGCCTTCACACCTCCTGGTACCCTGAGCACCTCTGGGTGCAATCCCCAAGCACAGAACCAGGGAGTAGCCCCTGAGGGGGCCCAGCGTGGCCACAAAGCATGTTATTTTTCTTCTTTTCTCCTCTCCTGATTTCTAGGTCCCAGAGAGAACCAGTATCTGTGGTTTTCTGTTTGCCTGGTTTCTTTTGGGGGAGGGGAGGAGGAAGGCTTTGGGTCACCTGCCCAGCCAGCAGTGCTCAGGAGTCACTCCTGGCTCTGCACTCAGAAATTACTCCTGGCGTGGTGCTCGGGGGGATGCTATGGGATGCTGGGAATCGAACCCCAGGTCAGGCGTGTGCAAGACCAGTGCCCTGCTCACTGGACTATGCCTCTGGGCCAAAAAGAAAAGAAAAGAAAAGAAAAGTGCTTATGCCGGTGGACTTTTTCCGAAGCACAGTTCGCAGCTGCATTCGGAAGAGTACCATGCACAGCTTCGGAGCCGTTTTCTCTGCTCCCGTCCCTTCGTTTGCCCGCTGTGATTGCTGAGACGATCCTGGGTCCGACAGGTTCTGGTGCTTGCTCACCAGCCGACACACCCTTAGTCCCAGTGCCTGCTGGGGGCCGTGCTCTGTAGCAGCGTGGCTTGCACCCGTGCCGGCCGGCGGCTGCCACTTGGTGAGTCATGGCGCTCGCCAGGACTGGATTCTCCAGTGGTCTGGCACACGCCTGGCGGAACGCTGTGTGGGTGCCAGGGGTCCTCACAGCACGGTGGGGGGTGGGGTCATGCTCGGGGCCTCACCGTGCCAGTGAGCTTTCCTGGTTTCCTCACCCTCTGGTCGGGGTTCGTCTTGCTTTGTGGCCTCTGTATTGGGCTTATTCCTTCCTCTCTGCTCAGGTATCACTCTATTTTTTTTTTTCTTTTGGAATCACACCTGGCAATGCTCAGGAGTTATTCCTGGCTCTGCACTCAGGAATCACTCCTGGTGGATGCACAGGGGACCACATGGGATGCTGGGAATCGAACCCGGGTCGGCCACATGCAAGGCAAATGTCGTTCCTGCCCCATCCGGTATCACGCTTGGTGATGCCTCAAGGGATCAGATGTAGTGCCAGGGATCCAGCCTGGGTCGGCCTCGTGCCAGGCAAGCCAGACCCCCTGTACTGTCTCTCCAGCCCCCTCCCTCCTATTTTAAAATGGGATGATAGTCTTTATTTCGCGTTCTCCTGTTAGAGTTCCTTCATCTTTTTTCTTTTTTTAGTGGCTTGGTATATTCTAGTGAATGCCTGTGGCCTCCAATGGCCCGTCCCTAGGAACGCTGGCATTCGCCACCCACCCGGCGGATGGCGTGTCGACATGTCGCTAGATGGTGTCAGCTGTCTTCCCAGGAGACCGTTCTCGTCTACAGCCCCCGGAGTGCGCTGGCCTCTAATTTCTGTTTTCCTTCTGGTTCCGTAGAATCTCCACTTGAACTAAGCAACGGTGGAAAACCAGAAGAAATGCGAGCTGGGAGAAGCTGAGCCTGGTGAGTCGCGGCGCCCCGCAGCCCTCGGACAAGGGTCCGAGTCTGCATGCCCACTGAAAGCGGGGCAGGGTGCCGGGCCCCTCACAGCGCAGACAACTGGGTCTCGGGGCGGTGACCGCGCCTCCCCCGGGCACCTCGCCACACCCCCTTTTACACCCGCTTTTCCCAGGGCCTCCGAAGGGCCCAGGAGGGCTTCCCCAGCTGTCCGCCTAAGCGGCTGGACCCACACGGGACTTTGAAAACAGTGGGCACCGTGCCACCTTTCCTGCCCACCCGCCGTGTGTTGCGAAGCTGTTTTCACAACCTCTGTGGGCATGTTCGTTCTGTGGCAAAAAAGCAAACGAAGAACCTGGCCCCGAGAGCCAGCAACAGGCCCACCGCAGGGGGGAGGCAGGGCGGGGCCCAGGGGAGGAATGGGGGTGCCTGGGTCCCCTTCTCAATGTCGTGCGGGGTAGCGCTGGTGCCCCTGCCTCTTAGGCCCCAAGGCCTTCCTCCCTGGAGCTCCATCTCCTGGTGCTCAGGGCAGTATCCAGCCCTAGTTTCTTTCTTTCTTCCTTCCTCCCTCCCTCCCTCCCTTCCTTCACTCCATCCCTCTCTACCCCTCTCTCATTATTTCTTTCTTTGGTTCTTTCTTTCCTTTCTTTTTTTCTCTTTCTTTCTTTCTTTCTTTCGTTCTTTCTTTCTTTCTTTTTTTTTTTTGAATCACCGTGAGATCCAGTTAAGAACTTTCATGTTTGAGTTTCAGTCATACAGTGATCAAACACCCATCCCTCCACCAGTGCACATTCTCCACCACCAATGCCCCCAGTGTCACCCCCGCAAGTTTCCCACCCTCCCCCTGCCTCCATGGCAGACAGTTTCCCCCAAACTCTCTCGCTGCGTTTGGGCATGATGGTTAGCAATACAGATACTGAGAGGCGTTCACATTTGGCCCTTTATCTACTTTCCGCACACATCTCCCATCCCGAACGATCCCTCCAACCATCATTGACTTAGTGATCCCTTCTCTATCCCAGCTGCTTTGTCCCCCAGCTCATGAGGCCGGCTTCAAACTACGGAGCAGTCTTCCTGGCCCTTGTGTCTACTGTCCTTGGGTGTCAGTCTCATATTACGTTATTTTATATTCCACATATGAGTGCGGTCCTTCTATGTCTGTCCCTCTCTTTCCAGCTCATTTCTTTTCTTTTTTAAAAATTATTTTCTCTTTTGCTCTTGGGTCACACCCAGCGATGCTCAGGGGTTCCTCCTGGCTCTGCACTCAGGAATTACTCCTGGCGGTGCTCGGGAGATCATATGGGATTCTGGGAATTGAGCTCGGGTCGGCCTCCCGCGTGCAAAGCAAATGCCCTGCCCGCTGTGCTATTGCTCCGGCCCCTAGAACTGGGACTTTAACCAGGATTTTGGATGGGCTCCAGGGATTCAAGAGTCACTGGTGATCATGGGTGCTTTGTGTATGTGCCTGTTTGTGTGTGTGTGTGCATGCGTGTCTGTGTGCATATGCGTGTGTGAGCATGTGTGTGTGTGTGTGTGCATGCGTGTGTGTATATGAGTGTGTGTGTGTGTGTGTGTGTATGAGTGTGTGTGTGTGTGTGTGTGTGTGATTAGCCACAGTTCCCCTCTGAACACTAGTTTCCTGAAGCCAGATTCTGGGATACCTCACCAACCCTCCAGATCCTCCTTTTCTTTTCTTTTTTTTCTTTTTCTTTTTTTGGGTCACACCCGGCAATGCACAGGGGTTACTCCTGGCTCTGCACTAAGGAATCACCCCTGGCAGTGCTCAGGGGACCGTATGGGATGCTGGGAATCGAACCCGGGTCGGCCGCATGCAAGGCAAACACCCTACCTGCTGTGCTATTGCTCCAGCGCCCCAGATCCTCCTTTTTTAAGGGATGCAGTGGGACCTAACGTCACTGGAAATCCCTACCCCAACTGCTAAGGTCCTCGGGACCTCTCTGGGGCGTGGCAGGCCCTGCTGGCCCCCGGCAGAGGCTCCTGGGCTGCCCGTGACTCTCGACCCCGAGCAAGTGAGCTGTTGGTTGGTGTGTCCAGTTGCTGTGTCCTGACTGGACGGAGCTTCCCGAGGGTGCCCCCTGGGTCTCAGGCAGAGGGTGGCGGGGTGCCTGGGGGCCGGACACTGAGGGCGACCGCTGGCTCCCCCACGGAGCGTACAGCATCATCGGGTCCCGTTTCTTCCTGATTTACCTGCCTTTCCCCTTCCCGTCCTCATTGCCAGGACCAGGGTCACACACGCTCTTGGGGGCCGCCTACTCTGGGTGCGGCACTCCTGGTGTGGCGCTTGCTGGAGCTCCCAGCGCTCTCGTGGCAGTGCTCATGCATCCAGCTGGGGTGGAACCCTGATTCCTGCCAGAACTTCTGAGGACGCTGGATGCTGTTTTCCGCTTTCTGCGTCGCGGGTGGCCGCTGCTCTGGGCTGCTTCAGGTGTCTCACGGGGACCTTCGCGTGCCCAGACCAGTGTCCCGAGGAGACGGCCTCCGCCTCTCCCGCGCCCCTCGCCACGTGCCCTAGAGCAGACACACAGGCTGCGACTCAGGTGATGCTCAGAAATGTTCAAGAACTGGCCGGCAGGTTCTGGAACCCCCTGAGACACCCCGGAAGCCGGGACCCAAGGTTTGGGGAACCGGCTCTCCCCGGGGCCTGCGCTCAGTGCGCCCCGACATCTGCCCGGCTGACTTGGAAGCTGCGTCCCTCTTGTTTTCTGCCTCTCAGCGGGCTGCTCCCAGGGGTGGCCCAGTTGCGCCCCTCCTTCTAAAGTGCTCCCCCGGGGCCCCAGACGCCCACCCTGCCCTGTGCTCTGCCCAGTTGGCGCCCAGTTTGAAGCTTGCTTTCCGTGGGGGGTGGGGGTGTCTTTGCAAATATTTGACTTTTAAAGACAAAGCAGAAACAACCGGAAGTGACCTTTCTGGGGAATTTGGAAGCTTTGGGCGGGGGGGGGGGGGGGGGGGGGGGGATCCTGGTGGGATCTGCTGAGTCCTGAGTGCTGAGGGTGAGACTCCCAGCTGGGCCTGCTCTGTCCATCTCTGGGCAAGGTCTGCCTGTGGCCCACCCCACGTGGTCCCCCGGGACCCCTGAGGTAAGTGGGGGAGGCAGCAGCCAGGCTGCTCCCCACAGCCAGGCGCCCCGTGAGGGGCCCCTCAGTGCCCCGTTCCCCAGAGGACTCCGTGTCATCTGGTGGCGGGTTGGGCCCACACAGGCCGCCCAGCCTTGCTCTGGCCCCGGAGCATTGGTGAGGCGTCACCTTCACCCGTGTCCCCCAGTTCGGGGCGTTTTTCGGCGTCCTGGGCTTCTCCTTTCCCAGCGCCCTGCCGGGAGCCCCCAGGGACCGCAGCAGCACAGCCCGTGACCTTCAGGGCCGGCCTCCGGGACTCAGGGAACGGCACGTCTTTAGGCTGGGAATTAATTTGATTCCTTTCCGCTGAGAAAGCACCGGAGCACCAACGCCGACTTGTTGAGAAAGAGCCGGAGCACGCGGCCACTTGTTTCCCGGGAGGGCGGCGGGGAAAGTCGGGCCACGCGCGCCGCCTGCTGGAGCCTGGGGGGACTGCCCGGGGACGGCCACCCTGATGTCCTGCATCGGCCCCCAGAGGCTCCCAGAGCACCGGGCACGCCCAAGTTCCTGCGTCCCCGTTGGGGTCAGAGCACTGGGCTGGGCTCTCCTCTGCTCCACCCACCCCTGCCAGTGTCAGCCAGCTTCTTATTTATGTATTAAAGGTTTCGTTTCCTTGAGTCACTGAGAGACCCTTACAAAGCTGCTCATGATCAGGTGTCAGTCCTGCAGTGCTCCAGCACCCGTCCCTCCACCAGCGTCCATCCCAGCACCAGTGTCCCCAGGTCACCCCGATCACCCCCACCCCTGTCCCCCACCCCCCCCAGCCTGCTCTGTGGCAGGTGCTTTTCTTTCTCTCTCTCTCTCTCTCTCTGTTTCTCTGTCTCTTTATGTCTCTCTCTTCCTCTGTCTCTCTCTGACTCTCTGTCTCTGTCTCTCTGTCTCTCTCTATGTCTCTCTGTCTGTCTCTGTCTTTGTCTCTGTTTCTCTCTTTCTGTCTGTCTCTGTCTCTCTTCTGTCTCTCTCTGTCTCTGTCTCTGTTTCTCTCTCTGTCTCTCTCTCTCCTTCCCTTCCCCCCTTTTGGTCAGCCAGCTTCTAAAACTATTTCACAACAATAACTAACGGACTCAGCCACACTGAGGGGTAACCTTAGACCCGTGCTTGCCTAGGTCCTCCCCCGCCCCCCCCCCAGCCCCCCCAAAGCTGAGTTTCACCAGGCAGGGCGGCCGCAGCACCCACAGGGGAGGGTTCGTGGGGCCACTTGCTGTCAGTCGAGCAAGCGCCGTTCCCTTCCCGGCTGAGACACGACTGACACCCGCGGCTTGAATCACGGTGTGCCTGAAACCCAGTCATGAACGACGTTGTCATTTTATGGCAACCGAATAAAAATGTAAAGAAGAAAAAGGAGCTGCCGTGCCCCACCGCCCCTCCCACGGCAGCCCTGTCAGACCCGCTCAGGTGCGTCGGGAAGTGATGACCCCAGCAAGGCTAGTTACGAAATGTCTTTCCTCCAGTGAAAACTGTCACCATCATCCCGTAGCAGCTTTCCGCCCTCCAGCGGCAACTGTGGTCCCTCCCGCCCGGCGTGGCGCCTCTGGACCGTGAGCCAGAGTCCATCCCTCTCGGCTCCCCTTGTCCATTCTCCCCTGCTGCGGTGCTGATCTGCCTCTGTTGTTTGTTTGGGGGCCACACCTGGCGATGCTCGGGGGTCACTGCTGGCTCTGCACTCAGAAATCGCTTTTTCTTTTTTGCTTTTTGGGGTTACTCCCGGCCATGCTCAGGGGTTCCTCCTGACTCTGCTCTCAGGATAACTCCTGGTGGTGCTCAAGGGACCCTATGGGACGCTGGGGATCGAACCCAGGTTGGCCGCGTGCAAGGCAAACGCCCTCCCCGCTGTGCTGTCGCTCCCCCCCCAATCTGCAGTCTGTCTCAGTG